AAATGTTCAGCCGGGGATTTAGCTCAGTGGTTCTATCGCCTGCCTTGTATGCGCAAGGTCCGGAGTTCAATCCCTGGTACCAAAATAAATAAATAAATAAATAAAAGTTCAACATGGAATTACCATACACTATAATTTAGTAATTCCACTCCTAAGTATATCCCCAGAATAGAATGCAGGGACTGAAACAAAAACTTGTACATCAGTGTTCACAAAAGCACTATTCACAAGAGCAAAAAGGTGGAAATAACTTTTGTCCACTGACAGATAAATAACTATAGATAATATGGTATATACAGCATCCACCAAAAAAATGTATATATTACGGGAACAAACTTATATATTCTAATACTACTGAGACATCATGAGATTAATACAAGTTACCTTTGGCCTCTATAATTACAAGAGGTGCTCAAAGAGGGGGCCGTTAGCTTCCAGACATTTGTTAGTACAGTGGACTGCGGAAGTGTGTCTACATCTTTTGGCAGACTCTTATATACATAAATATTACCCAGTCATAAGAAGGAATTCCAATAAATGCTACAACACAGATGAATCTTGAAAACATTATGCTAAGAGAAATAAAAGGACAACTATTGTATGCTTCCTCTTAATAAGGTACCAAAATAAAGAGTAGAACGGAGGTGGTCAGGGGCTGGGTGGAAAAGGAAAGGAGTTAAGTGTTTAACAGGTACAGACTCTTCATTTGGAACAATGAAAAAGTTCTGGAGAGGGATAGCGGCAAGGGCTGCACAACAGTGTGAATGTACCTAAAGTCAGTGAATGGTATACTTAAAAGTCATGACATAGTAAATTTTATGTCATGCATATTTTACCACAATAAAAATGTATACAACACAGGATGAATCTTTTTGAGTTTTGTTTTTGTTTTCTTTTTTTTTTTTTGGTACCAGGGATCAAACTCAGGACCCTGCACTTTTGAGGTAGGCTCAGTGCCACTGAGCTAATAAATTCCTGGCTCTTTTTGGTTTTTTATAAGGGGAAAAAAATTGAAGTTTTCCTTTGAGAGCATCAGAGTAGGCTGGCAATATAGCTTACCAGTACACAGCAGAAGAGTATCTGCCTGGCATGTACAAACCCTGGGTTCAATCCCCAGCACCCTCCTCCAAAAAAAAAACCAGAAAGATAACACCACCTGTCTTGCAAGCACAAAGTCCTGGGTTCGATCCCCAGTACAAAAATAAATAAATAAATAAGGGCCAGGGATTTAGCTCAGTGGTGCCGCCACCTGCCTTACAAGCGCAAGGTCCTGAGTTCGATCCCCGGTACAAAAAAAAAAGATAAGAGCACCAAAGTGACAGAATGCAATATACCTATAATTGACAGTTTTTACAGTGGCCTTGCAAGGATTAAATACTTGGCAGCATACCACAAAGTCACTAAAGCTTGAAAAAAAAAATGTTCTATTTCAATTTCTTTCATAAATTTGTGTCATTCCTAGATGTCTAAAAACAAATGAAAACACTTTGCCTTCATTCAGATTATGCAAAGGGAAAAAAACATATATTTTTATCAATTAGTAAAAACTGGGGCTGGGGATTCCCTATCCCTCCAGCCTCCCTTGCTGCCTCTTTCCCTTTCTGGCACTATGTTCCAGATATCCTGGCCTGCTTTCATTCTCACTGCTGGTCTTTTACACCATGTGCTGTTATTACTCGCTGCAAGATTCTCCCACCCTACCACCACCGCCTTTCACCTCTGAAGGCCCATTAATCCCTCAAAACCATACCCTAAACATCTTCTAACATTTGTTGAGTGAGCATGAGGAGCCATCTGGATGTTTTCCAGCATATTAAGTTACCACTTTTTGCCCCTTACACTACCACTGAAATTCATTATGCACTAGTTTGAATTTCCTAACTTAAACAGACCCTTTACAGACCATCAGGAATAAGGGGAGCATGAAACCAGGACAGGTCCCAGACCCCAAGAAATCAAAAAAAAGGAAAATGCTTTCCTTTCTTCTAATTCTGGCCAACAACAAAAACGAAAGGTACTGTAACACAGTGTTTATATTAGGGCTCTGCAACATACTAAGGATGATACCAAAGACTTCACAGCTCACATCAGTGCACATGCAACATGATATCCTGAACTAAGTGAGACTAAGGTCAGTTCATTTTCTGCTGTGCTGATTCTGGTCAGAGAGATGCAACCAGATTGGCCTGGGGGGGATCCTCCAGCCTCAGCCTCCAGAGTGGTTGCACCACCACACCTGGCCATTTTTTTTTTTTTTTTAACTTTGAAACAGGGTTTAAATCGCCCAAGCATGACTTAAACTTGTGATCCTCATGATTCAGTCTCCTGAAGTGCTGGGACTGCAAACCTGTGCCACTGTGCCCAACTAAATAGTCTTTTTTTGTTTGTTTTTTGCTAACCAACCTCCTAATACTGGCACTGGATGATTAGCTGAACTATTCCTCAAAGTTTAGCTGGGATGTCGGCCTTTTTTTTTTCTTTTGAGGAAAGATCTTGCTATGTAGCCCAGCCAGCTTGGCCTCAAACTCAAGCCTCCTGCCTGCTCCTGCCTCAGCCTCCCCAGTGCTGGAATTACAGGCATGTATCACCTCACCCAGCTTGGGTGTTAACTCTTACTGATATCAACATTGTCACTTCCCACTTTTCCTTAACTTTTCAATGTGCAGTAACCACACTGGCCTTCTTGTTAGTTCTCTGTCACTTCTACCACACTCATGTCTTAGGACTTTTGCACTTGCATGTGTTGCTCTTCCCATAGAAATACACACATTGAATGTACCTTCACCTTGTTCGAGGTCTTTGTTTTTTGAGTACCTGATTTTAATACATAGTGAACACACTTCTTGTTTCCCTTCCTAGTTTCAGTATTCTACATTGAATTTACCCATCTGGCATTCCATTTATTTTATTTTTTAAAAATTTTCCCTGCCAGGAGGTTTCATGAGGAAAAATATTTTGTTTTGTTCATTGAGAAATCCCAAAGCTTAATGTAGGGTCTAGAAGAGGCACCCACAGATTTGTTGACTGAAAGCACAATAGAATTCATTTCATTGTCCAGGCCCCTGAAATATGCCACCTTCATTCTGAGTTGTTAGTCCTCATCTCAAGTCTCATAAAATCTTCATCTTAAGGGCTGAAATATTTCTTCAGGATTACCTAAGTCAGTCCAGAAAGCTAAAATAGTACTGTTGAGGCTGATACTTTCTTTTTTGATCTATCTCATTTCCATGCTTCTGTCTCTTTGGTTCTTCCTGACCCTAACCCTCAAGCACCACTTCTCTTAATATGTAAACCTGTAAAAAGTATCTCAATTCTGCTTTTAGAATGTATAATTCCTGGCCAGGCCTCGTCGCACACACCTGTAATTCCAGCCCTCAGGAGGCTGAGGCAGGAGGATCACAGTGAGTTTGAGGCCAATCTGGGCTACACAGGGAGTTCAAGACCAGCCTGAACGACACTGCAAGACCATCTCCAAAATAATAATAATTGATGATAATGATAGTGATGAACAGAATGTCGAGTTCCTTCTCAACAGATCCTACCTCGACCCCAAGCTCTCAGCTTTCTGTCCTCGCCTTCCCTCACAAATCCGACTTTTTCCATCTACCCCGCCACTGCCACTTGCCCAACTCTTTCACTCCTTCCATGCCCTCATCTTACCCACTCAGTTTGTCTGCCACTTTTGCTTTACATCTCTCTAAACGTCATCCCCCCACCCCGGAGGGGTGTCATACTTCCATCCTAATCTCCATTCTATTTGACAACTCCCACCCACACTTAACATCGCAGCCCGCATGCCCACAGCATCAGGTCCCCCTTTCCTCAACCCCGAAGTCAACACCTCCGGAGCCCTTGACTCGAGAATGAGGAAGCCGGGTGATCGATGAGTTAACTGACCCATGATCTCAATCTACATAAAAGGATGTTAAATGACCCACCTTCGAGGCGGATGCTTCTCCCCAACAACCTGTCTGGCGTGGTACTGTACAGTCCCCAAATTTTACGCCACCTGCAGCGCAAAGCTCCTAGAAACGCAGATGCTACGATCCCCGCGCGCCGCCATCTTGTCAAGCCACCCGGTCTCGTGATTGGACAAATAGCTCTCGCGAGACTCTCACATAACCTGAAGAAAGGAGCATGTGTCGCGATACCTGGAATTTGCTGCTCCTTTTGACCCAAGGTGGGGACGTGATAGCTAGTGAAAGAGTCCTTTGCAGTGTGGTCAAAGAGGGAGCTGCACACCAATATGCTGAGGAACTTTGTTTTTCTTTAAATAGCTTTCTGGGCCCTTCTCTAGACTTACTAAGTCATACCCTTGGGAGATGGGCGGAGAATAGAATGAGGGAGGAAGACTTTTGTGCTTGATGCTGGGCAATTGTTGCTTATTGTGCAACAGGTCTCTCTTTATGGGGTGCCATATTTAATCTTCACAAATACATTTGTGAGGTGGGAAAGAGTATCCTCATTTACAGAAGAACTGAGAATCAGACTTTAAGTTGTTTGTTAAAGATTTTACATTCAGGGCTGAAGGTGTGGCTCAGGTGTAAAGATCTCACATTCAGATGCCACAGATGGCATAAAGTCCTTGTTCTTTGGTTTTCCTCACTTGCCTCTTTTTTTACCCCTTCCGTACGTACCGGGGATCAAACTCAAGACCTTGCCCTTGCGAGGCAGGCACAGCACCACTGAGCTAAATCCCTGGCCCTTCTCACTTGCCTCTTGAGCTAGAAGCTCTTAATGCATTTCATTTTTATTTCATTTGGTTATAATCATTTTTACCCTCGGGTAGGTACAGTGAGCTTTAGTCTCCCTACTTTGCAACTGAGATAGAAGGTTAATGACTTTCAGAAGGCATACAGGTAGTAACAAAGCTAGAGTTAAAGTCAGGACCTAAGATCTCTTAATGCTTTTTTTTTTTTTTTTTTTTTTGTACCGGGGATCGAACTTGGGACCTTGCGCTTGCAAGGCAGGCAGTGGAACCACTTAGCTAAATCCCTGGCCCTCTTAATGCTTTTTAAAAAATGGGTTGGGCCCCAGTTACAATGAGTGAAATTGAAAATGTAATAAAAAATTTACCAACAAAGAAAAGCCCAGGTCCTCATGGCTTCACTGTTGAATTCTACAGGACATTTAAAGAAGAACTATCGCCATTACTCTTTAAACTCATCAAGGAAATTAAAAGGAAAGCAATACTTCCGAATTCATTCCTGGAAGCAAATGTAACTTTGATTCCAAAACCAGGGAAAGACCCAACCGAAAAAGAGAACTACAGTCCAATCTCCCTAATGACCAAAGACTCAAAAATCCTCAACAAGATACTGGCAAACAATACAGAAGATCATCAAGAAGATCATACACCATGACCAAGTCAGATTTATCCCAGGGATGCAGGGATGGTTCGACATACATAAATCAATAAATGTAATACACTATATTAACAGAGTCAAGGACAAAAACCATATAATCATCTTAATAGATGCAGAAAAAGCATTCGACAAAATCCGACACCTATTCATGATAAAAAACCCTACAGAAAATTGAAATAGAAGGTTTTATTCTCAACCTGATTAAGGCTATCTATGGAAAACCAGCAGCCGCCGGGGATTTAGCTCAGTGCTTTCGCCGCCTGCTGCACAAGTGCAAGGACCTGAGTTTGATCCCCGGTACCAAAAAAAACCCCAAAAAACAAAAAAAAACACTTATTCTGGGGATTTAGCTCAGTGATTCCTACCCCTGCCTGGCAAGCGCAAAGACCCGAGTTCAATCCCCAGTACCAGAAAAAAGAAAGAAAAACCAGCAGCCAACGTCATACTAAATGGTCAAAAACTGAAAACTTTCAAGCTAAAATCAGGAACAAGACAAGGATGCCCACTATCACCATTCCTGTTGAATATAGTTCTGGAAACATTAGCCGCAGCAATTAGAAAAGAGAAAGAAATAAAAGGAATAAAGATAGGAAAGAAAGAAGTTAAACTGTCATTATTTGCTGACGATAGGATTCTTTACATGAGAGACCCAAAAATCGTGGACAAAAGACTTCTAGACTTAATTGACAGATTCAGTAGAGTAGCTGGATACAAGGTCAACACTCAAAAAAAAATAGCCTTCTT